TGTACCCATTACGTCGCTCCAATCGCATTTCACAATGTAACCGCTAGACATTCGTTAAAACGGAAATTCGTAGCGAATGCCGCGCTATTATTATATCGTATCAGCCCCTCGAAAATAATTAGCCAAGTCTGTTTAGTAAATGAACACCGAAGTACATACGTACATCGACAGCACGCGAGACAAATTCACCTTTAACATCGGCACAGGATGCTGCGTCGCGCGCCCTATCTACGTATTATAATGTATCAACTAATTATCAAACTCGACTGAAATCGTGTCAACATTAATCGTGGAAACGGTCCTCGATGTCAAACAGCCTACGTAAAACCAACTTGATTTACAATTTATAAACACCGATGCAACGTTGAATTTGCCAAATTATTTTATCGGACCCGACTCTTTCGTCGCTGCTTTTCAATCCTTTCGGCAACAGTGAAATTTTCCCTCTCTAGAGTGGGGGCTGAATGGGCAAAAGAAAGAAGAAAGGGAGAAAGGAAGAAAAGGAGAAAGACAAGAGAGAAATAAAGAAAAGAAGACGACAGAAGGATAGTAGGGACATTTCCGAGAGTAATTTTCCACTGGGTGGCGCCAAGAAATGTTTATTCATAAGTTACTAGAATGTGCACGATGTACGATTGTCCCGTGACGTTTTACATGGCCGTCGCTGCCGGCACCACCAGCATCCAGCTCGTCTGTTTGCTTTCTTTCACCCTGTCTCGCGTACAGATGCGCGAATGTGCTCCCTACACACACACACACACGTATACATGTATATATGTACATTGGAAAATTCGAAAAATTCCGACGACGATGCGCCACACACCGCACACCGGTTTCCGTATCGAATTCGAGAAATGAAAGCCACACGTAACGAATAACAAACGACAAGCGAACGTCACTTTTCCCTATATTATTGCCACGTTATTGCGAACGCGAATACAGAATATTACGCAAAACTCGCGCTCTGCTTTTGGCCCTTTGTAGATCCGAGAACTACGTTAATCCGGTTTATAAATTCGTAATTCTGAATAAGCGGATCAGAGCGTTGTGTCCCGCAACGGTGGTGGTGGGGGGTAAACACGAAAAATCTATCGTAAACGTTATCGGATGACACGCGTAAATATCGGTCGGTGCCTTTCGGCGCTGGTTTTCACGA